GCATCCGTATGCCAACTGCACCCTTAAGATATTATATACAATAAGATTATTTATCTTGTATACGTCATAATTACTTACAATCATCTGATGTAAAATTTAAAAGCTTAGTTGTGTCACAAAGTTAGAAAAAGTTTCTTTTGAACTTTGAGCTTGGTCCATAAAATAAATGGTCTCTTCGTGTACAATCCCATTTTAATTTCTTGGGTCCGGTTCCCTATTTTTGTGTTCAGTCCATACACGAGTCCTACCCGACCCATTTTCACCTCTAATAGGAACAAAATCCAAAAGTAGAAAAGTGTATACTATCTATTTCCATTTTTTTTATTTTTAGATTTTGTTTCTATTAACTAATGCATTCGCTCTTTTCTACTTGTACGAGCTTTGACATTTTAGGTCTCATGGCTGGGATTTGATATGCTTGGCACGTCCCTAGTTATCAACTTTTTAAGATTGAATTGGACTAGCAGTCAAATTAGTCGAACCAGCTTGGATGATTTAGAGCATAAAAGATGCCGACCAAGCAATTTATCAAAATTAATATTTGATCAATTTTAGCTGGTCCAACTAATAAGTAATTTTTTTTAAAATTATTATTCATATTTTTTGACATTTTTAAATTTTAATCAAATAGGTTTATGTTGTCGGATGGGTTTTGATCAGATTAGACCAGCTCATAACAATTAGTAGGAAGTAAATATAGTTATTTGTGTGCACAAAAACAGGACCAGCTTTCATTGCTGTTTTAGAAGCCTACATTATCAAATGTAACTAATTCTATTTCTTTTCAAAGATGATTTTTCTGACACGTTTTACATTGGATGGCTTGAGGCTTTTGTGACATTTGAGCATGAAAGGTAGTACTCTCATTTTATTAGCATATATGTAGTGTTGTCCGTTTGGGATGTGAGAAAGGATTTCTCTTAAAATACATTAGTTGTTGCGTCTTCATGGATTGCATCATTGTTTATAGGAAAATTGTTTCTTACGGGCTGGACGGCATTTTTAGATATACGGTCCTTAAGTATAAAGCATTTATTTTAAAGATGAATGTAAATATGTGGTCCATTTAAAAACAATTAAAACTAATGGTCCAAATGTTTTTTTAATAGAATTATTATTTATAGTTTTTAAATTTTATTTATTTTTTTATATTCATGATCTCCATCATAGAGATTACATATCCTTAAAAATTAAATCCAAAACTCCATCTCAAAAATAGATTTATTAAAAGGCACGGATTTTTACATGTGCAGGTTTGGCTTGCATGCTAATTGCGTCCATGTTTAAAAGCATGAAAAGTTCAATTTTTTTTTTTGAGTGAACTTTACAATAGCGGGGCAATTATAATGAGTAGTATTATAGGTAAAATCTCAGCCGTCAGATTTTCATCGAGTGGTTCAAAATACATATCACAATATGAATTTTAATTCTTTTCTATCAATCTGATCAAGATTAAATTTTAGGTGTATATACCTAACACTATTGTGCACCATATAAAAATATAAAAAATAATTATTTTCAATAATTTAAAATAATCAAATTACTTCCGTCATTTTTAGGGGTATTTCGGTCATTTTATATTTTGTGAAATATATTTTATATATTTTTAAATTGTGTGTATTAATTTTTTATTACATCCATTTAAAATTTCATTTTGATTCGATTTTTAAAAAAAATATTAAAATTTATATAATGATATGTATTCTGAACTTTACGAAAGTATTCTCATTCCACCTACATTACTGTTTATTATAACTGCCATGGTTA